AATTTGTGGTTTCTAAAATCTGAGCACTGACAGATTTTTGCCACCTGCATGGGGCAGAACTTGGTATCAAACACTGATGGGTTCAAAAGGAAACACTCTTCCAGTGCCAGGTACATCAGAATCCAGTTTGGCCTGCTGTGTCACTTCTACTCAGTGATTAAAACTTAATTTTTGTGGATTAATCAAGAGATTGACAAAGTTTGTTTTCCTAAGACTTGTTTTGCTTTCCTAAATATTCTCTTGTGGGGCAAGTTCTCTGATCTATTTCTCTCTCTCTCTCGAGTAGCCAGTCACTTGTTTCCCTACGTGAAGAAGCGGATTCAGGTCATAAGCCAAACCAGCACAGAGCTGAACCCCATCGAAGTGGCCATTGATGAAATGTCCAAAAAGGTCTCAGAGCTCAATCAGCTTTGCACAATGGAAGAAGTGGACATGATCCGACTGCAGCTCAAGCTCCAAGGAAGTGTCAGTGTCAAGGTAATGACAATTTCCTGCCTTTTTTTTTTTTTCAATGCATCTACCTAAATTTTTATTCTGATTTTCATCATTCCAGGTATTTTTTTTTCTTTGGCATATCTTGTATCATAGTGCTGTTAGAGCCCACTCTAAATACACTAAGGAATGGAAAGTTTTCTACTGGCATTGATGACTGCTGGTTTTATATGCTATTTCATGCAAGTCTACTCTAAATATTAAGACCTTTCCAACAAGACTGTCACATATCACTTGAGAATATGGCCCATCACAAGCAGGTGGATTCTTTAAAGGAAGTTTTGCTAGGATTGGCTTTGTCATTTCCTATTTAGGAAAGGTGGGATTGTGATGGGTATTCCTGGTGCTCTCATGGAAATGTCTTCAAACCAACATGTAACTGTCTGGGTAATCAGCTGGCTGGGGACTTGGAAAGGCAAGCACAGCTTGTACGAGGTTGAGCAGCTCCTGTTTCCTCAATAAAACTCCTCAGCCTCCATCCTGGTGACAAAAGGAGTGAGGGGATGTTCTTCTCACAGCCTAGGTTGCCTGAGCCCAGTCTCCAAGCCTTGGCACACAAGAGAAACAACAAGGAATGGTTTGTTCTGTGTAACTAAGCTGTGTATTTTTCACCCAGGTAAACGCTGGACCAATGGCATATGCTCGAGCTTTCCTTGAAGAGACAAATGCTAAGAGATATCCTGATAATCAAGTTAAGCTTCTGAAGGAAATATTCAGGTGAACATTAATTTTAGGCTTTTTGCCCCCCACATAGCACACAGGATACTGCATGGTACAGGGAGGTGAGACACAAAATCAGGCTGATTTGATCTACCCTAATTTACATCTGCACTTACACTATCTTAAAAGTCATTCCTAAGAAACATTTCCTGGAGTTCTGGGCTACCCTAAACTACATTCCTTCTGATCTGAGAATGAAATTCACTTCTCATAAGGTGCAATTTGCAAGGGGGAGAAGAGCTACAGCATTGTGTGTGTACATGTACATAGATGGGTTTTTTCATTAGTACAAAACTTGTGTCATTGTTTTTGTGTTTCTGTGTTTGCAGGCAATTTGCTGAAGCCTGTGGACATGCCCTTGATGTCAATGAGCGCCTCATTAAGGAGGACCAATTTGAGTATCAGGGAGAGATGAAGTCTCATTACAAGGATATGCTCAGCGAGCTCTCTGTAGTTATGAATGAACAGGTCAGAACATCTATTTTGTTGCTGGTTGGGCTCAGTGAGGGTGGCTAATTGTGCCTTCTAGTGACAAATGAAGCTGTAGTGCAACATTCTAGAAGTAAAACCTTGCAATGCGATAGTGACTGAGAAAACAGTTTATATTTTTGTGGTTTTGGGTTTTGTTTCTTACCCTCTTTTTTTTTATAGAAATATATTCTATATAGCAAATCTGATCAACAAAGATCTGTTTTCAGCCTGCCTTGCTACATATTGAAAAGCTGAATGTTTGTGAGGCTAAATGCTGACTGGGGTTTATAGGCATGGAAAGATAGTCAGTTTGAACTAGTGCTTTATGTTTTGCTTGCTTTGTCCTATAGCTGTGATGTATTTAATTAAAACAGTAAATTGCTATTCAGATGTTCCTTATAACCACAGGAGGTATCTTTGTTGTTCCTATTTATATTCAGCTTTCAGAGAAAGTTATTTTTTAATTTTTTTTATGCTTGAGTACACTGTCAGAATACATGCCATGTATTTTAGCTTCAGAGGGATGAGCATGCATGGATACATTATATAAACTGCATCCCAAAATTCTGAATTGGACTCCAGTGCACACTTGTAGCTATTCTACTGCTGTGTCCAGGCAGATTTATTTTTTTTAATATTTTCTGTTTCAATTAAATATTGAATGATTTGCGTACTGAAGTGCTAATTAAACCACGTTTAATTATATCTCCGCATGCCTACGGGCAGGCTACCTTAGATTGCATCTGATAAATAGTTCCTCTCTAGCAGTTGTGCTGCATTTCCAGGTGCCTGTAGCATCCAAAGGCAGTGTTGGTGTAGAGTTACTTGGTGTAACACTGGTATCAGTGGTGGCATCTCACAGAAGTGCCTAATTGGCTCTCCATTACCCCATGCCGTATTATTTATCTTCACATAGGAGGAGAATAAGGATTGACCTGAATTTTTTTGCCCATTGTTGTACTTACTGTGGAATTGAGTGGGTTTTCCCTTGGGTGTAAAGCTCCTAATTGCTTGGAGGCCTGGTGCCTGCCAGGTGGGGTTGCAGCTCTGGGAGTTGTGCTCCTCTCCTGTTCAAGTGTATAAAGATTTGTGAACCTCAAGCATTCCAGCAATTTTATCATAATTAGTATTTATCACTGTTTTGTTAAGTATGTGAGTGTTAAGGGTATTATTTGTTAATCAATATTCATGCATCTCACATGGAAGTTATTTTGACCATCTAGTCAGTGTGCATAGGCAGCACCATATGTCTTGGGTGAACCAGTGTTTCCCACAAGAATGGAAGATGGATGGTCAGCTCAAACGAGGCATGAGCAGCCCATGAGCTTCAGCATTCATAAAACATTTGGAGAGTTCCTGTATTTATATCCGTGAGCTCTGAGTTTTCTTCATGCTAAATAATACAAAATTACATGTGCAAAGCAATGCTAATGTGTAATCCAGAAAAAGTCAAATTGTCATCTCTTTTACAAAAATAGTGTGAATTTTAAAGTCCACCCTGAAAACAGTCTCCCACTTGCAATCCTTTGGGGAAGCCTAAAAAGTGACAGCTCCACTTTCCAGGCAGTGTGGAGTTTTGAGAAAACTCTACTCCTCTTGCAGTGAACTCATGAACTCCTTGCTTTTGAGCTGAGTATTTCCTTAGAGAAATCACATGCCATAAACTGTGGCTGAAATATTTATCTCACAGTTGGAAAGCTTGAGGCTCTCATGCATCTGTGCTGTGTGCTTTACACCAGTACAATTTGCCATCTTTCCCATTGTTGTATTCAAGAGAGTTTTGTTTCTCACCTGCTGACAGTGACTTTTTCATCACCATATGTTTTTCTCTTTTTTGTTTTTCTCTTTTTTGTTTTTCTTTTCTGACAGCTCTGTCATGGTCCTTGCTTATACAGCTTCTCTTCTTCCCTGTCTAACATTTCCCTCAATACTATAGCCAAAAGTGGTATGTTCGTTTTTCTTACATCTATTTTTTCTTTTAATGTCATATACTTCCCTCATTTGCTGTTTTTTCTGCTGGGTATGTTTGTTTAATTTCATCTCTAATGGCTCCCTTCTCAGGGAGTTTAAATAAAGATACAATATGTGTGATGTGTTGTCCATAAGCAGTCTTGAGAGGCCTGTTCTTTAGGATCCTAGCTGTGAACTTTGGGGAGGCCAGTGAGGCAGCTCGACAAGAGCCCCCCTAATCCAAAAGCAAGCGTCAGTAGTAGCAAAAGTGGCTGCCAGGGTGTGCCCAAGTCCCAGTGCTCTTCCTGCAGCCCACGGTGTGAGAGCAGCTCCTTCCCAGAGCTGCTGGCTCAGGAACTGAGGCTGGCTGTGCTCACGTCTGCCCGAGTGACAGCTGAGCCATGGCTGACCTGCAGCCCTGGCCAAGGACAGCTTGGGGTGATGGTTTAGGGTTCCACCTGGAGCTTTGTCAAGGGGAGAGGTTTCCCTTCCACTGCTGATGCTGTGTGGTCAGTGGGGATGGCCCTGTCTCTGCTGTGAATGTTTCAATGAAGCGCCCATGGAGGAAGACAGGTTTTCAGTCTGCTTTTATAGAAGTAAGCAGGAAAAAAGGGCTATTACCAAGGGTAAAAGAGCTTCTTCAGGAAAAAGATCTTCCTTCTTGCTAAAGCCTACCCATAGGACAGGGCAGAGCTTTGGCCACTGCTGCTCAACTGCAGCTCTGCCCAGAGGCTCAGCCTGGCACTTGGTCCCAGCCCGGTGTGTGCAGCTCCGTGGGGCTGCCCAGCCCCATTTTACCCCGGACTCAGAGGATGTCATCCCTGTCCCTGCAGCCCCCATTTACCAGGGAAAGGTCCTTTTCCTCTGTCAGATCCTTGGCATCATTGTGTTACAATTAAAAAATGGGAGATCCTTGGTTAGGCAACGGACACTTCAGACACCAAATTATTCAGATCTCTCTCACTGTTGCTTTTTTTTTCCCTGAAAAGATTGCATACAAGGAGGAATCAGCAAAACATCCAGGGATGGAGCGCACGTATTCACGAGTCATCCACAGAGCCAGCTCCTCTGTGCCAGCAGCAACCATTCCAGCAAATCCTGATGCCTGACTGCAGCATGGGGAACATACGGCCTCAGGAAGATCTGGTGTCTGGGGTGGGGTTTGTTCTCTGTTGGTTAGGGTATTTTTTTATTTTTTTTTTTCCTTTTAGATTAATAGTACTGAAAATTAAGTTGATGGAAAATACCAGGAAAAGGATTTGAGGGTTAAGATTTTAATTTATTGGAAGTCTTCATGGTGTTATTTTTAAAGATGCAAGCTTGAGAATTTTTTGGTTTTGCCTGCCCCAATATTTGCACATTCCCTCTTTTTTTTTTTTTTTTCTGTCAATTTTGGTTTTGAGCAGCCTTTATTAAGCCAGGCTGATTACAAAATTCCCATTGAACAGATAGGTACGCAGCAAACCCTAAGTTTGCTATAAATTATAATATATCTAATACTAAGTCCTAGTATACATATATTTTAAAGGTCAGAGTGGATGTTTTATAACATTTAAGCATATTGCAATTGTAAATAGAAGATGTGTAAAATATGTCATTTTTACAAAATTTTAAAAAATATCTTTTTAGTTAATTATGACAGTACTAAGAATATGGATAACATTTCAGTTACCATTATATTAAAATATTTGTGTATGTGTATGAAAGCGTCCATAAAATTTTCTCTTTGAAGGTCTGTGTGTTGGTTCATTCCTATGACAGCGCCCTCTGGAGTGGTGGAGATCAGGATGCCTCCTGCATCCCGACTGTCTGTCGTGTTGTGGGTGCTGATAGAGACACTTATGACCATCTGCAGAACGTGGCTTTGGGTTCTCTCCATGGCCCCAGACTGAGGCCACCCTGGGAAGTGGGCTTGGTGTAGTTCTCCTGCTTGAGGCCAAGAAAACTCAGATTTTCCTTTGAAGTTCATAGTCCCAGATTTTGCCTGGGGCATATTGGGAAACCACATGCTTTTATGAGATTTCTGTTTCATTTTATACATCATGTGGGGATAAGGGGGAGTGATTGTGCTGCTTCTGAACAGTTCCCTTTAACCTCAGGAGTTCCCACCCTCCTTCACGTTCATTCATAGAAAATCCCTGCTTGCATAGTACCTGTGTGTTAAAATTCTTCTTTCCTGTGCACACAGTCCCCACAATTCTGCTGTTTTTTTCTCTTTGGATCATTTTCCCTGGAGAAGCTCTGGTGATTCCCCTGAGGCCTCCACAGGTTTGCTCTGGGGAAAGGCCAGTGCTGTCTTTCTACCTAGGAGTACCAAGAGGAATTTTCCAGTGTTTTGCCTCATTCTACCCTCCTATCTCTTCTCATAACACCCCAAGTTCACAACTGGTGCATCTCAGCTGGAGTGTAGCCTGGCCCTGGAGGCCAGAGTCAAGGGTGGGCTCTGAATTCACTCCATCTCAGTGTGCAAGGTAGAGCTGCCATGGCCCAGCCTCTACCTGCTTGCAGGTGCTGCCAGCACCTGTGGCTGTCTCACTCAGCAGATCAGCTTTCCAGAATTCTTGGCTAAGGTTTGGAAACGTCACCAGTGTCCTCATCTTGTGGGTAAGAAGGGGAGTGGTTGGGACAGGCACACCATGGTTTGGGATGGCCCTGCTCCAGCATCAGTGCAACAACAGCATGAGCCTCATGTGGGGCTTGGAAAGAGCCCAAGTTCTCACCTGGGCACTGCACAGCAGCATCAACCACACAGCTGGGCAGGGGCTGAGCCCTCCTCATCCTCACCTCGACAAGCCCCGCTCTGCTCTTTGGACACTGTGCTCTGCAAAGCCAGTCGTCTTCTGAAAGGAATGATTCTGGCCCAAATGGTTTGCACTGAAGGAATGTTGCAGGCTGGGCTGAAGCCAAGCTGTGGTCTGTAAAGCAGAGGTAAGGAAATCCCTGGATTGTTTCCTCAATAACTTGCACAGAAAATGAGTTTCATGAGTAAGTCCAAGGGCTGTGGGATTTGGTTTATTTTAAGCAGCCAGCTCTGCAGCCTCCTCTGGGGCTTGAAAACCAGCCCATATTCTGGGTTTGCCTCGTTACTGGTGTTAGAGATGCTCAGGCTTGAGTGTTGCTGCGTCCTTGCTCCAGATGGCTCTTCCCCTCCTGCTGTGTTCACACACTTTAAACTTAGTCGGGTGAAAGCAATTAGCACAAACATTAGCTTTGAACCAAGGCTGCAGCAGGGAGAGAAAACAAAGCATTAAACCATGGATAGTCCCAGCTTTTGAGGGGAGGGAAATGAAAAAAATGGATGTGAAGGATGATTACAACGATGGGGTTTGTCCCTTTCCCATGACAAAATTCAGCAACCCAACTGCAGAAGCCAGATGTGTAGCACTGAATCCCACACCCACCCTGTCCATGATGCTGTAGGAAAAGGCTCTTCACACAATTGCTGCTTTTTAAACTCGTAAGTTATGATGTCTGAACCATTTGGTTTTCCTACCAAAAGCTCCCCTTTGAGACTCCTTTTGTGTAGGGCAGCCATTAAATCATGATTGGCTGTTCATGGAGCTGAGGGTTTCTCCAGTAAATTATTTCACAGTCTTTTCTTACACCTTTTCCTCCAGCTGGAGGAGGCTCATCCCCCTGGTGCTGTAGGCGAAGCTGGTGAAAGATTCCCTTTCATCCAAGGAAGGAGATCTGTGCGAGCCAGACTCAAATTGAGCTTCTTTAAAAACTTTACAGAGTGCAAAAGAAATTATTCATGTTTGTTACTTAGTGGAAGCTATCTCAACACCCCAAAAGGAGTTAAGTGTTATACATATTTTATGTTTAATCACATCTTTAGTGACACCCAACCACAACCAAAGGCTTAAATTTCAATTAGAGGGAGGTGTATTAAATGTTTAATAGGAATCATTCCTTACAGGGTAATTATATCTTAACTGGAGAGATGTTATCTTGGCAATATAATATTGATCTGAAGAGGGATAATTTATTTTTTTTAATTTTATTTTTGGATAACATCCAAATGAGAAATGGAAGGGGATGAACGATGCCATTCATACTCCAGACACGCTGCCCCTGTCCTGGCTATCCATTGGCCTGGATGTGGGAAGAAGTGAAATTGCATCCATACATAGCTTTAAATGTGGCTTTTCTGATCTCAGCATGAAAACTGTTGTTCCACATGTGCTGAGAAGCTCCAGGCTGCAGGTACCTTTTACATCATTTTGAATGTTTTTTGAACAGGTAACTGTCTATTCAATATTTCAGCTGTAAGTAACATGGGATGATGAATCTTCAAGACACATGATCTATCAAGGATATCTGCTATGGACATGAATGTGTTTACCAATTTTTAGTAAGTTTGGTATGCATGCAAAAGATTTTTCTCTTAATATTTAGATTACCACAAAGATAATCAGTGTTCACAGTCACTACAAATTAAAACCATGAAGTGAGCTCTGAACATAGACAGTTAAAATCAAAGGATGTTTAAATCAAATATTAAATAAGAATAAAGAAATGGGATTTGGAGAAAAGCATTCACATCTGTAGAAAAAGAAAGACAATTTTAAAAAGCCAATAAACTAGAATGCATTTGTCATTTAAGAGAATTGCTTTGAGATAAATAGAAACTAATCCAAAAGGCAAAGAGCAGCCAAGTCCACGTTAGAACTGTGACCATGACCAGGAAGAATCCTTCTTAGTGGGAAACACAACTGAACTTATTTGCTAATTAGAACTGAACAGAATAACCAATTTTAGTTGGGAAAAGAAGGGGAAATTTTGGGAAATGCTAAATTGGTGCTTTTATTTCAAAAATACTTAAATCGGGTATGTGCAGAGTTTGTTCCAAATGAGGCCAGTCCTTCTGGCTGTGTCCTCCACACCAGCTCCCACTGGGGCTGAGCCAGCCCCTGAGAGCCCAGGGTGGGCTCATGGCTCAGTGGCTGAGCATGCAGACCCCAGCCTGGGTGCCCACAGCTCTCCCTGCCCAGGCCCTTCCAGCCTGGTCTTGTTTGTAGTTCACAGAGAGCAGCTCTGGGCAGCTGTCAGCTTGCTGGGCAGCTGGGGGAGGAAATGAGAACATTATTATTCTTTTAAAGAAAAGTCCAGCACAGTTCCTTGGTGAAATATTAGCTATGGAAAATATCAAGTAACTTTCCTACCTTCCAGGCACGTATTGGAGCATTTGGGGATGGGAAAAAGTAAAAGTACGGTGAAACCAGCAGCTTTAGGGGAAAGCTGCCACAGAGTGCAGATTATCAGGCCAAGAGAGTACTGAGTGGTTTCAAAGCAGAACGGTGAAGGGCTCATCTGGGAGAGCCTCCTAGTCAGTAAGTGGTGTGTGTATTTCACACTACAGCCTCGAGACACAAAACCCCAAGCAGTTCTGGCTCATGGCACTGCGGGAGGAGGTGCTGCTGTCCCTCAGGGAAGCTGTACCCAACAGAGGTTTGGGATCAGCCCTGGGCATGTCCCGTGCCTTCAAGAGCATCTGAGGCACAGTCAGGTGGGAGTCAGAGTATCCTTTAAGTTCCCTTTAAGCTGGGAATCATAGCCTACACTGGATATGTGCATGGTTTGTAATGTTTAATTGAGTTGACAATGTACAGGTATTTTTAGAAAAGTCTCTGTAATGCAGAGGTGCAATCATAATTACTGACATGTCTGTCCAGGCTGAGGTTTTTTTCATAACTCACTAGAGCATCTTGAAGTTCTCAATATCAGCATCACATCGTGAACAGCAGCATGTTTCCTTTTTTCCAATTAACTACACCTCATCTTACAGAAGCTGCATTTTTGGCAGGCTTTTTAAGCTGTGCTCCCTATGTGCTACCTCAGCCATATAGTCACTTTTTGTTAGGGATAGAGAGTGTTACTGTGAGTGTGTTACTTACATTGTGATACATGTTTGTGACCTGCAAATGCCATGTGATGTTCCCTGTAGCTCTCAGTCATGGCGTAGATGTCATTGCACAAATTTCCTGTGGTTAGATACCTTATAGCTACAGGGTTTCAAATATACTCATGTTTTATATGGGGTGTTTTGCTTGAGAAAAAGTGGGGTAAGAAATTATTATTATTATTATTATTAATAATTTTAGGATGTATTTTGTGCTTAGGGGTGCTCTGTGATTGTGATGCTCTCTCCCATGACTGAGGGCTTGTTTTAATTTGAAACCTATCGCAAGGTCTGTGCAGGTAACTTCTGGCCCAGTTGCAAGCTCCTCATTATGAAAATCTCCAGCTGAGCATAAAGATTCTCTTGCATGAGGCATGGGTTTGTAGTCTGCAGCATATGTTGTGCTTGCAGGGGGCTGGCATAAAAGAGCCTAATTCTGATTACTCTGCACTAACTTGAGGATCCATTTAAAGAGACAGAAACCCAAAGTCTTGGAAATTCAACACGGAGACCCGAAGTGTCCTCTCAGAAATTTGAAATGTTTCTGTAGCCAAACTTCATGCCAGCCCAGTCCAAAACCAAGGTTTCCAGATATGACTCACTTATCTTGGTGTTTTGATTTCGCATTTTCAGGTTAGCCTTGTTTTTCAAAAGTATTGAGCATCCCCTGCTGGAATTCAGACCCCTTTCAGAAACCTCGAATGCTCAGAATCAAAGCTTCCTTTAATACGGGCCAGGTGGGATTTTCTGCATTCATGTGGGAGTTAAGGCACAGTCAGGCAAATGGTCCTTGCAAAAGGAAAAGGATGCTTCACAATTGTTAATAAGTTAAACAATTACCTCTTAACAGACTAATCAGATAACTCGGTGCCATCATTACCTAATGAGATGTTGAAACCTGAGAATGTTTCACACATATAATTGATTTTTGCCATCTTGCTTTGTTTCTGGGCGGTTGTGGAGCTCGCTCCCCACAGCTGCCCCGCTGTGAGAAGTCCCCACCCGGCCGTGGTTAAAAGGGAGCGTTTAATGAGCCATGAGAGGAAGGCGAGGTCTCACTCGGGCAGAGAGGGCAGCCAGGCTCGCTGCCCCTCCAGGCAGCCCCTGCCCCGTGTCCCCCTCGCACTCTCCTACAGGACTTCCCACCTCACTGGCAAGGACACAGCACCCCTGCAGACTCGTAGTTGCCCTGCTGGGCTCTCGTAGCAGGCTGCCGGGTGGCAGTGGCTGTGCTCGGGAAGAGCTCTGTGCAGAGGAGCCGTGCTCCGGCCGCCGCTCAGGGCGCGCCACACGAGGCGGCTCCGTGAGGGACGGCGGGCCCGGCCCAGCCCGGCAGGAGCACCGCGCCTGCCCGGGGCAGCCCCCTCAGGGCTGCTCTGCGCTCCCACGGAGCTCTGCCCGCAAAGGCAGCGCCCCAGCCCTGCTATTCACGGGAAAAACCCACCTAGGTGGGCTCTGGTTCGGGGGCACACCCGCCTGCTGGCACCCTCCCGCACGGGTGTCCCAACGCCAGCTCACCCTTGGCCTTCAGAAGGGCTCAGGAATAGCCGGTTTTGGCTGCGCAATAGGTAAGATTGCACAGCCACACTTACCAGAATAAGGATGGGGGTTTTTCGGCATTTGTGTCTTTGGGAACGTACCAAAACGGGCCTCCAGGTTCCTCTGTTGGGCTACAGAGTGCTGCCGGAGCAGAGGAAGGGGAGGTACTCCCCCAGCTAAAACTGGGGTGCTCCAAACAGCCCTGGAATGAATCTAGTCAGTGAATAATTAGCTGATTGCCCTGGTGAAAGCCTAAGGCACTGCTGCAGAAATTGGTAGAAGCTCCTGCACCTGCCTTCACTGAGGCAGCTGAGCTGTGGCGAGGAGCCCAGACTGGCCTGAGGGTGGGCGAGCACAGGCCGGGCACTGGGGCTGAGGGCAGCACCCTCCCCTGGCAGTGCATGGCCAGGAAACTGCGCTAAACACAGAGATGACCGGCAAACTTGAGAGGCTGGGACACTTGTCTAATTATCAGAACATTCCCAATTTCTGCTGCAAAATCTACTTTGTCAAATCCTTTTCTCACAAGGATGCATTTCTTTACATGTTTGCAGATGAAATGTGTCCAAAGCAAGATGTGACCTGGGCTGGCAGAGCAGCACCTGTGGGGACACTGATGTGGCTTTCAGCATGCCAGGACCAGGTGAGAAAGGACCTTGCAGACTTGCATGTCCCACTGCGTTTAAGCTGTTATTTGAGCACTCAGAAGAAAATGCATACAAGTTCAGCATCAATCTTAAACCTCCTGCTGAGCCTCAGGCAATGGGATAAGCCAGGTAAAGCATAGGGATAATTTAAATGCATAAAGGTCTAAATGTCTCAACTTTGAGAAGAATTAAAGGGGAGAAATGAAAATTGAGAAAAAATATAAGTTTGCTTCTTAAATTTACTGTTTAGCTCTTACTTTACCATTTAAATAGAGAAGCCACTGAGAGAAAGCCAATATGGGATCAAATTTAGACATGAAACCTATTCAGATGTACAGAAGGAAAATGATCAGAGGTGTGTCAGCAAAACAAAATCATCACACAAAAAAAGATCTTGTTAATTTTTAAATCCACTGAAATGTTCTTTTTACCTCCTTAAGCTGTACAGCCAGATTCAGAAGATATTCATGTTCTTTTGTACCTCATTGAAGAATAAAACATATCAAAGTCAGAAATCAAGCAAGGACTCAGGGCACAGTGATGTTTTTGCACAGTGAGACTTGGAAGGGCTTGGCACTGACCCCGACCAGAGCTGCTGTTATGCTTTTGCCTGGTACTTTTTTATAGGATGCATATATCCAGTGCTGCTGATATTCAAGGCTGACTAACAGCAAACCTTCCTGCAGACTCCAGCCCTGACAGAGATCTGGGCTTCAGGTTTGCTGCTGGGATGATGAACCTGTGAGCTGTTCTATTCCCCAGGATTTCCTGTTGGGGCAGATGGGCTGCTGTGCTTCTCCCCCATCCTGTCCCAGCAAGGCTGGAGATGCAGTGTCAGTACTGGTGCTCTGCTGGTTGGGTTTTGCCCCAGAAAAGGGAGGCTCTGTCTTTTTGCACAGGGATTCCTGTGCCACTGGGAGGCAGGACACACCTCCAGCTGCAGCATGTCACAGAAAACATCCACATACAGGCTGCTGATGGATTTTCCAGGACAAAATGTTGTGATACACTAAAAAAAAATATTGTACTAGAGTAGAAATGAGTCCTTTTTGATTTTTTATCTCTCTAACCTCAGGGGAGCAAGAGGGATTTGGTAAGAGAGACAGCTACAAGAACTGTTCAGCAGTGGTGGTGGCTGTGCAGGTGCTGTTTCCTGCTGGTGGCAGTTTTCACCCTGTCCCTTCCTGGCTGCCCCTGCAGCAGCCATGCACACACAGCTGCTGCGTGTCACCGTGCTGGGCAGGGCCACGATCAAGAGTTGATCTCCCCGGGGTTTGGATGAAGATGCTCCACAAGATTTCTGTCTTCAGGTTTTCTGCTGCAGTACTATTTGGTATGCAGTTTGGACAGTCCACAGGGACCTAGCACATCCACCAGCAGCCACACAGTGGTATTGCTGTGGGGCTCCTAGCAGAGAGCTTCAGATATGACTGATGGTGAAAACAATTTTACCTGGGTCCATATCCTACCAAAGACAACTTGCCAAAGCATTTCAGGAGTGAGGAAATGCCCTTTCTGTTAAAAGACTTGAAGTGTTTTACAACAAAACCCTCAGAGTTACAGGTTTCTGCAGTAGGCTCAGGAAGGCACACTGAAGATACACTCACCAAAATCTGCAGCCTGCAAGTGTGTCACAGCTAAACCCAGCATGTTTCCTACCCATGGCACACAGAGCAGAAGCATCCAGGAGCTGGCAGGCTAAGCACAAATCTTGGACCCCATTAAATTTACAAAAAACAAGGTTGGGTGCATGGAGCGCTTTCTGCTTTCAGGGAACATGCTGGTCAGCCCAGTGGCAAAGGCAGCTTTGCCAGGTTTGCATTGTCCAAAACTGGCCCTTTCAGCAGGGGCAGATGTACAAGGTTACAAGACAAAAGCCATCTCCTCAGATGTTTCTGGTGCATCAATAGGTCTATGCCTGCTCCAGTCTGGTTCCAGAGGAGCAGTAGGCATGGGATGAGAGGAGCAGATGTCTTCAGCTACAGCTGGGGTAAGCTAATTTCTGAGCTGGTAAGTGTCCCCTGCCCAGCCAAACCTGCCAGCTGTGGGATCAGCAGCAATATTGTAGTTACACATGGGTGCTGTCACTGCTCTAGTGCCTGATCTGCTTGCTGGAGAAATAGACCCTTAATGCTCCCCACACATTATCCCCAGCACAGGGGCACCTACACTGTTATTTAAGCCTGGGTCCAAGCCCAAGAAAAATGCATGGGTGCTGTGGGCTTCATCTGCAGCCTGAGAACTCACGTTTGTTTCCCCTCTCTGCCTGCAGCCTGAACCCTGCAGGGCCCTCAGGAGAGGTTCCCGGGAGGTGACAGCAGGGCTGATGCTGGGCAGCAGCACCTCCCGGTGGACCCGATAGCTTCCTCAGGACAGCCCTTCTGACACCTCAGGAAAAACAAAGACTGAGTCATCTCATGTTTGAAGCATCTCATAACAGCTTTTTTTTCTTCCCCCTGCCTCCAGCAGCAGAGTAGGGAAATGCACACAGATGAAATGGGTTGTTTTTTTCCCTCTCTCACTTACTCCTTAGTCACTGTTGAGCTATTGGGAAGTGAAGGGCCTCAAAACAAAAGGTGTGTTAAATTATTTCCCTGTTGACTTTTTGGCATTCTGAGTTCTGTACTTTGAAGTAGGTTTTGGGGAGCAGGAGGACTACTCCACAGGCTTTTGCATCGTAGTGCCAGAAGAAAGATGGCTTTAGGGACTGGGTGATGAGAGAAGTGCGGGGGATTGTGTTTCTCTTCCTAATGCAAGAATCATGCCTGCTCTGTCTCTCATTACACTGCTGGGCACTGCCAGCGCTCCAATGAGCCTCCCTGGGCACCCAGAGGGGGCCCAGCCTCTGCTGCAGCCTTCCAGGAGAGCTGTGGTGTACCTGCTTGTCCATCACAGCTGCTGGCATGTGTTGTTAATAGCCGGGTTCTTGCACTGAATCAGATCCCATTTAGAAACTTAATTTTCCTGAGAGAAGCTGGTAATTCTGGAATTGAAATTCCAGATACACAGAGAAAAAAAAAAAAAGTGTAGATCACCACGTGTTAGGGAAGAGATGAATTGCTGCCTAGTGAAGGGTGAGCCTCTCTCTGTGCCATGGAGATGACCACTGGGGCATGGAGATGACCACTTTTTTGGCCAAGGCAAAGGGCTCTGTCCTCCTCAGCGGTGCGGAGAAAACCAAGCGGCAGGCGAGGGGCGGGCGGGTTTCTTCTGGGGCCGCGCTCCCGTGTTGACAGTGATTTGTGCGGTGGGGAGAGGCCAGCTCTGCTCTGAAACGCGAGCCCCGAATAAATAAATCATGGCCTTCCCTTGGCAACTCGACAGCACGGGCTCTGGCCCGTCCTGGGTGTGCGGGGAGGGCCTCCCACTGTCCAGGAGCTCTTAAGCGCAGGGTCTGCCCGCGGCCGGCCGAGGAGCCGCTCTGCAGGGCAGGGCACCATGGAGGGGAACACGCACCTCCTGCAGGTCATCCGCAAGATGCGCTCCCAAATCAACAGGCTGGAGAGGGAGAACAGGGCCCTGAAAGGAGAGCTGCAGGGCTGCGGGCAGAGAGCTGTGCCGGCAGCGGGAGGTGGGAACGGCGGTGCCATCGCCTTTGATGGGGACGGAGCGGCTGCAGCCGCAGCATCCCCGCAGGGCCCGGCGCCGCTGGAGCAGACAGGTACCGAGCGGTGCGGGAGCAGACAGACAGACAGACAGGTACCGAGCGGTGCGGGAGCAGACAGACAGACAGACAGGTACCGAGCGGTGCGGGAGCAGACAGACAGACAGACAGGTACCGAGCGGTGCGGGAGCACACAGACAGACAGACAGACAGGTACCGAGCAGCGAGCTGGGCTGGCCTCGGCCCCCCAGGCACTGCCCGGGCGGGAGGTGCCAGCCCGGCTGGGGCCGGCCCGTGGGCAATGGGCATGAGCTGCTAGATGCTGGCTGGCCAACTCCGTGGAAGCGGTCTGGCCTCTCTCTGGGCTTCTCGGGGTGCATCCCTGCCAGTGGAGTATTTTGCTGCTGCTCAAACAAAACATTCAACTCAAAGTGTTCATTTTGCTTAAGCAGAATTTTACTTTCTGCTTTGGGTTTTCACAGGCGTGGACTCTCCTCCACATGTCTGTCCGCTTTCTGTTCCAGGCAGAAAAGGGCCAACGCTCGTAACTATGCCATAACCCCTCCTGCCTTATTACTCAAAGAGGAGAAAAATGCTTTTTTTTACAAATTACAAATAATAACAAAGAATGATGGGTTGGCTGCATACATCACGCCAGATGTGCAGTTTATTTTTGCAGATAATGCAGTATGTTCTGCTGAGGCAGAGAGGTGTCAACATATAGGAATACATTCTCTTCACAATTTTATCAGAGGAGAAAAATGGAAATGTTCCTCAGTTATAGAAGTCTGGAGGAATTACTGAAGCAGGAATCAGAGCAAAATGTTGCTTGGTGAGAAGTATTGGAGAAATGGCCCCACAGGTTTTCATGGAGCCAAATCTGTGTGAAGGAATGAGAGGCTGACAAGCACAAGTGGATTTTTGTGCAGCCAGAGGGGTGCTGTGATGGAATAGTGGTTGTTTCCAATCCCACTGACCCAGTGGCCAGGTTACCAGCCTGAAGGCCTCAGGCAGGGGCTGCTGGTGGCTAGGGATGTCATCAGTTTGGGAACAGCTCCATGGGGCAAGGGGGAAAGCTGTGGAAAGTGTTTTCTAAACCTGTGGCTCTGCCTCTCAGCTTCACCACATACAAAATGTGTTTGAGCCCCAAAAAAGTGATTAAAAATAGAATGGTAGATCATTTGGGGTCGGAAGGGACCTTAAACGTCATCTAGTTCAAACACCCCTGCTATGGGTAGGGACACCTTTCACTAGACCAGGTTGCTCAAAGACTCATCCATCCTGGCCTTGAATGCTTCCAGGGATGGGGCATCCATAGCTTCCCTGGGCAACCTGTGCCAGTGTTTCACCTCCTGAAATCTCATGTCCTCTCTTTTAGCTTAAAACTCTTCCCCCTGGTCCTATCACTATCTGCCTGTGTAAAAAGTTGCTCTCCAAAAATACATTGAGGATATCTGAATTGTCATTACTATTAATAGTAGTATTATTAGTATTAGTATTGTTTTTATCTCTGCTTTTTTTCTCTGCTCCTCAGATACTGCCATGACTGTGAGACGCTACCCCACTGTCTCCCCAGCTCCTGCTCCTTCCAGCACAAGGTGCCACGGGGCTGGCAGGAAGCCTCCACGCAATGGGCTCCCAGAGGTGCCAGGCAGTGCCCAGCCACCAGCCCCTCCTGCTCCAGCACAGCTCAGCAAGGAAGAGGAGAAAGGGCTTGAAAAATCACCAGCCTGTTGTCTCTCCTACAGCCACTCCAGCAACATGAAGCTGTTTCAGGAGCATGTCTATAAGTGCCAGTAGGTTTGGTTTGCCTTCACAGCACCACCTGCCTGGGCTGGTCACAGGTTTCACCTAATAAGAGACATGGACTTTGCTGTGGGGTTTAGTATGTTATCAGCAGAACAATTGTTTGAATGTAGATGGGCCCTGAGCAGACTGGAGACCTCTTCTGAGGAAGCTGTGCTTCTCCTCCCTGCACTGCATGAGGTTTGGCAGTGGTAGCAGGTTAAATTTGTTACAGAAAGGAGAGGCTGAGAGAGACAGCAGGGTTGAAATCTTTGCTCTGTTAAAGCCAGGCAGAGTTTTGCAGATTGATGTGGTATCCTGACAAGCTAAGCTTGAAAAGGATTTTTAAACTTTGAACAAAAAGCACTGAAATACCAAGGAATTCCGCACTATGCCTTTGGAAGTGTGATTACTATGGCCCATGGATTTAGATGTACTGTATCATATTTCCTCTGTAACTGAAGCATTACAAGTTAATGCTTTCAGCCTTGAAAAAAGTAGTCAGGACAGCTTCTAAATTAAGTGAAATGGCTGCTGGACCAGCCCTGAGTGTCTCTGCTCCTTGCTGAGAAGCTCTGCAGCACAGGACAACAACCACAGGTAGAACCAGCAGTAATGAGACTGTGATATGATAGCCCAGCCACATCCTGTTGCTGATGTATCTACCTTGGCAATTCATGCTGATTCCTGGGTTTAGCCCAATCATGCTGTGCTCAAAAGAAAAATAATCCAAATGGCCTCAAAGCATGTGTTTGAGCAGGAAGAAGTCCAAGGCTCTGCTTGCCTGCCCTTGCATGTCCTGGGTCAGGACTCCAGCGGCCATCCCAGGGGCTGACACCTGCTGTGGGTTCTGTCACCTGTGTGGAGGTACCTGTGCATGGCACATCACAACAGCTTTTATTCTGTCCCCCTAAAGGGGCAGCCCAGCCCCTTGCACTCCCTGTGCAAAGCTGATTTTGGGCCCAGCTCCCCTCTGAGAGGCTGCAGGGAGCAAGAAGTTCAAGCTTTCAGAGGCACCTGGATTTTCTTGTAGGGACATTTCAGGGTCAGATGTTTTACAGCAGTTAGACACCTAAATTTAGTCCCTGGCAGGGAACCTGTATAGTTTTGCAAAGCACCCTGTCCCTGTAACTGGATTTCTGTGCATGCTGCACTGTGTGCAGGGCACTCCAGGCTCTCAGAGCACATGAACACGTCAGGGCTGTGCCCTGGAGCCAGCTCACGTGGAAAGTGTGTGTGTAGGAGCACGGGCAGCGTGCAGGCATGGGATGGCAATGGCAAATACTGCTGCTTGCTCATGAGAGGAAAGAGCTTTCAAAGCAATCAAAATAGCAGCACAGATCTGTTACATCGAATGCCTGGGGACCTAGCGGGTGCCCCGTGGCCAAACGACAGCGCTGGTGATTTTATCGCTGTCATTAGAGCTGCCTTGTCAAGCTGAACAGTGACTCATGTGCACTCGCTGCTGGCTGCTTTAGGAGGAGAAGTGGCTGTGGAAAGAGCTTTTCACCTAACCCCCTCGGCAGGCTGGTTGATAGATATCCTGAAGCACAAAGCTTTGTGCTTCTTACACCGAAAAACATTCCATATCTTTTATGGTCTCAATGGTGGATGCTTCCATTATATACTCAAATGTCTGACACAGACACCAGCCTTAGTTAGCTTTTCACTAGTAAGGTAATTTCTAGCAATTCAGCAAGCTTATTAAGCTTAATTTTTTACAAGGATGACATTTTTGCTTTCCAGCATGCTGCTTCATGTCAGATTTTCCTGTTCTTTGTTTACTGTAGCTTCCTCACATTTTGCTCCAAAGCTATAATCCTGTATGTGATATGAATATTTTTGCTTTAAAATTAACTCTGTAGAAGTATCATCTTGAATTTATATAGAGTGCAGTTGCATCCAAGTAATAAAAGCCCATTACTGCTAACAAATCATCTCTAATTTGCATGTCTAAAATATTTAAATTCATATATGCTAAAGTATTATTTCTACCAAGGGATTCCCACTGTGTTTGGTAAATGGAAAAAATCATTAAATATTTAAATACAGGATAAGAGAGGCTGAGAACTCTTTTCAGGGCTATTATACTAAAATTACTGAAGGGTCTCTGTGGGTGCACATGCACCCCCAGGGTTCTGTGAACACACAGCTTTGTACACACAGGTCAGGCATTGATAGGGAGATGTGAGACTCAGTGGAAAAAGGTAAATGCTTCCAGCAGAGAAGACCATGCTTGGTCCTTTGGGATGACCATGTGAATGCATGAAATCCTGCCTCCAGTAGGATGCAAGGGTTGAAAGCTTTTGCTTTTTGCTCGTTGGGTTGGTGTTTTGGTTTTTGTTTATTTTTTTACTTTCTCTGCATGTTTTATGCATTTGTAATCCTCATAATGATTTCTCACTTTTTCTTCAGGGGTAAAGTGAAGGCTGTGAGTTTCCTCTTACCAATGGATATGTCATCATTTGCTGAAAAGCAAGGTTCTCTCAAAAGCCCACAAAATCAGAGCACAAAACATCTAATGACCATCACTGAAAAGGATATGTGAGCTGGTGAATTTTTAAAGGCCCATTGATTCCTGAGATAAATTGGCCTTTAGTGATAGCTGTGTGTCAGGTTTCTCTCCTGCAAAACGTTTTGGCAGGATGCCCACAGAGCACCACCCAGCCGTGTTTCAGGTCACTGGCCTGATGTTCAGCATGGAAATGGAAGCCACAACAAAGCCCAGACACTGTGATGTGACCACACAAAGCAAAGGTGCCTCCACAAAGTGCTTCTGTGCAATGTGTTTCAGACCTTTACCTCAGGACTGATGTGAACAGGGTGTTGAAGCTGGGTTTGGTGTGTTTGTCACAAAAAGCAGAAACTGTGTCAGCACTTGAGTTTGCTGATTCCCTTGACAGAAAGGTGTCTGATGCAAATGACAAAAGAACTATCAAAGAGCCTATGAGGTTTTCTGTCTCGGTAAAACTTCCAAGCTTCACTAATACAGCAAAGTTAAGGAGATGCTACAGGGTCAGTTAATGTTGCTCTGAATTTCTGCAAAGCCTGGCAATGAGTTTGTCCAAATATCCATTTGGGGTTCACTTCTAACAGAGCACAGGGGAGAGTAAGTACTTATTGGTATGAAAACATGACTACAAGTCTGCTTCTCACTTGTGCTCATCCAGCTGGAGACTAAAGGCTGGACACCAAGCCAAAATAGGAAGAATTGTGAATATCAGAATATTTTAGGAATGGCTTCTCAGCACAGCTCGGACCAAAAATTATTAGCAGAAATTCAGCAAGCAAGTGCAACATAACTGTGAGATAGAACTACAGACAGCTTGTAAAAAATGAGCAGTGCCTGTTAATCTACTCATGTAAGTGAAGACAACATTCCATGTTTATTTTGATTACAACTATTTATGGAATCAAAATACTGCACACTGCTATTTCTTTCTGTACAGGATGCACTGATGATTGAATACTGTATAGAGAATACATGAATAGTTGATGTTTGTACAGATAACTTTGAGGAAGATTTTCATCTCATTGTCTACTCTTAAAGTCTTGAGTTTTCTAAGGTGGGAGCAGAGACTTAGTAGGAAAAATCCCCTCTGGATTTTCCAAGATGTTGTATACTTCTATGAAATTGTGTGTTTCTTTTTTCATTTTGAATTTCACCATAGATTTTATATTCAAGTCTAGTTTTAATATATTCTCACCATTGAAAATAATTTCAATTTCACTGCTGTTTTATTTGTGTACTTTTATGTTCAGCTTGGATCCATACAGAGTTGCATTGTAACGTCAGAAGTAATGAATTAATAGGAATGAGGTTCCAGTTTGGAAAGTTTACTAAACAGCCCATTTTAGAAGGCTTTAGAGGGAAATGCTTTAAAAATGTTTTAAGGAAAGCATCATTTGTGGGAATTAAACACTGCATATATGTTCAATTAAGCACCTAAATCCAGTTGTTTTTACTTAGGAAAGTAACAAAAGTCTTTGAAATATCTTGCCCCGGACCTTTAAGGTACCCAGACTTTTACAGTTAAGGTGTTAACACCAGACTCAATGGGATTTGGGAATCCATATGCTTCAGAAAGCTTTCAAAAGTCTCAACTTTTAATTTTCCTAACCCTCAGCTTCCATGAAGCAGTGCTGGGAATTCTCCCACCCTTTTTGTGTCAATTCACTGTAGATATGTGACTGACACAAAGACTGAGCACTTTTTTAGGCCAAGAGGAAAAAGAGAATAAAAAAGGTGGAAGGGAAAAGAGGGACAGGAATCAAAATAGTCATTGATAAATGGCAGTCAGTATATTAATGAAAAGATTTATTTTTGAATTATATTTCTGCAGTCTTTAGCAGTGCCTACAGATTTAAGAACACATGATGATGCACAGGCATATTAATTTCTAGAAGCAGTTGTGCAGATTTGACCCAGCTCTGCACCTCCAGGAGAACCAGATTGTAGCAGATGCCACAGAGAAACCACTGAGCACACTATTTTTACCACAGTACAGCATGAAGTACCTTACCATGGAGCACTTACTGGCAATTAAAACATTCCAATATTAAACACCCATAGATTTTTCAGTGCAAGAAGGGCAGGTTTAAGCAAAGCAAGTGTTAAAGGACAGAGAGATGCTGGCAGCAATTAAGCCATGGTTCTTTTCTTTCTTCTTCCCAAGATGATCCATACAAGTTCAGAGGAGTTCTGGGCTTCTGCCTAAAACTCTGTAGCATATCTATATTAAACCTCAGAATATATACCAAACCCTATACACTGGTGGCCAGGCTGGTTGGACCATTTCCAACTGGAAATTCTCTTTTTCAGAGTGGTCAGTGATGTTCAGCCACATAGGTGTGGGACTGCAAGAGCACCAGAGACAGCAAGAGCTTCCCTGCTGCATTCACACTGGCCACTGAGAGATGTAAACTTCTGTGTCACACTTGTGCTTGGAACTAAAGAGGCTTTAGATGTCCACAGCCAAAAATGAGAGTCCTCCACTGCCATTTGTTAGATGACATGTTCTCCATTCCATCAGCAAGATTAGTCCAGAGTACTGAAACACATCTCAAGGCTGGAGACACAAAAGTCTGCTCAGAGTTCCTTCTTAACTTCAATCACTGGGATAGTGCTGATTTAACTGTTAGCTCACTTTTACATCATTGTAAGTGAGAGAAACTGGATATTCTCATTCTTCGGGAAAGTCGTTAAAGCTGCGGTCGTACTACAGAAGCACAAAACCAGGAGCACTGGGACGATGGGGAGGAGCTACCAAGAGTGAAGGTGACATTTAGATTGTGTGTCTGAGGGTAGCAGAGTTTGAAATCTTCATACCCAGCCTAACAATTATAACCCTTAGACATAGCATCAACATACAGTAGATCTCTCCCCTGACCTCAAAATAATGAACAATACTTGGATGACAAAATCCAAATAATTAAGTAAAGCTTTCCACTCATAAAATTGGACTCCCTGAATGGTGCTGCTCAGCTGTATGGTGGAAGGTCCTTTTGTTACAGGGTGTGCCTGCAACAGCATTTCAGTCAATCAGGAGTACAGTCCTGAGGGAATTTCCTGCTCAAACCCACTTACCATACTTCATTTCTCACTGTAGTGGTCTCACAGCACACAAATGTATCTCTTCTGGATGAAGCTGTCAGAGGATGTGCTTCTGAGGTGCTCCAAAAGCTAACAGGTATTCATTGCTTGGGACCACACCTTGCAAAACCCCAGGAACATCTCTTGCATGGAGAACAGCACCAACGGTTTCACTCTGTGCACCCTCCTCTGCTGGTCTAATTGCACTAATTGTTCCTTTAGACTGAGCTCCTGGACTATGGAGCCCCTGTCTCAGAGATTTGAAAAAAAAATCTAACCAGGTGAAATTTCATCTGGCTATACTATAAAGAGGAGGAGATGCCTTTCATCAGTCTTAGCTCTCTGTCTGGTGTTTAAAGAGCCTTGCTCTTGCTGCAGACACAGAGGTGGAAATGTGATGCTCCAGGCTGGTAGAGAGGAGTAACATTATCAGCCTCTTCAGTGAATTCTTACCCAGAGTGCACATTGGTCTCATGCCTGCATCCTTAGTCGATGAATCCACACCCAGAGGTAATAAATCAGTGTGCAGGGCACATCTTCTGTCAAAGTCACCCACCTATTCCAAGCTCCATTTATAGAAGTGAGAGCACAATTTATGATGCACCAAATTGTCTACAACCTTTATAACCATTGTAATTTTGCTCGTCTCTCTGAAATCCCTGACAAATGAGCTTCAATTTTTCTCTCCCATTTCTGATCAGGCTCTAAGAATACATATACTCTAAGAATATATCATCATGGAAGTATTTCAGTTGAGCAGCCTCTGATACCAGGTAATGTTGATCTCTAATGCTGTTGTTTTCATTGCTGCTAGCAACATTAATTCCAGCACTGACAGTCTCCTTCTGCTGTCCTCAATCTTTTTTTGTTGTTGTTGTTGTTGTTTAGCTGGGCTGAAAAAATTAAAAATAAACTTGAAACTCATTTGAAGGTCTCAAATAGGTTGTAGGCCTTGAACAGTCCTTCAGTGTTGTGACAAATCTGATGCTTTGTAACTCCACCATTTCCATGTCCTTCTATGCACAGTATGTATGGCTGGTTCAGAGATCACAGATGCTCTTTTTTACCATTGGCTGCTACCAAGTACACGTTATTCTCTCTTCAGGATACAAAAATACAGGTTGTTTTAGATCTATTCTGCACTTCTACTTCATAATGCCTTTACCCAACAAAAGACATGTTAAGAAATGCAGCTGTTAGGGCAGTTAAAACACAGGTGGAACGCTACTAACCTTACACGGGGAAGTTGTTGGCTGTGCTGGAGTCAAGACAGATGGTCACTTCAGGGAATGTTTCTTTTATGGCAAGTGCTCATTTGAGTAGGAATATTTCTAGCTGGATGAGTCACCTCTTTCCCGATTGCTGCATCAGATACCAACACATGATTTTTATACAAGGATATTCAAAGATGTGGCACAGGTTGAAAATGCATCTTCAAAGCATCCTGCAAGGGTTTCTTTCTCCACTGGGAGTATTATATGGCCCATGTAGATGGATTAAAAAAATTTTCCTCCACTGTTTTATTTTTACTGAAAACTGTGATGAAATGTCTTTTTTCTTTTTTTTTTTTTTTTTTTACAAAATCATGTGGCATTCATATACAAAATAAGTCCCATAACAGCAAAATGCACAAAATCATAACAAAATTTCTCTGTTTAATGTAAAAGTAAGAAACCTAGAGTAAAGTGCAAAAATTAGAGCGAACATTTCTATTCTGTGGCTCTTCAGCAGCAGGTTTGACTCTTCCCTGGTTTGGAGGATGAGGACCATCATCTGCATGCTGGTTGCCATGGAGACTCCCATCGCTTTTGGAATCACAAGTTTTGCCTGAAAGAAAACACTCCTGCAGTGTGAGTTTTTAAGGACCAGAGAGGTTTCTGTTTGTCAGCACAACAGACTAACCACCACATCTAAGCAGGTGGGAGGGAAGGCAGTAAAATATTTTCTAGTAATTAGTAACAACATATTTAGTCTGTATAAAATCCACAAAACACATAAATAGAACTACAAGACTTGCTGCATAAGATTAGGTTGTTATGGCATCAAATCTGTTATCTCTCAGTATCAGCTGCTTCAAAGGAGAATGAACTTTGGTCACAAAACATAAGCATGGCAATAAATTCTTCTGATTCCTGCAGCAGACAGGACTGAGGTCTCTCTTGAGTCGGTAAGGCTCCCCCCATAAGGCTTCTAGGAAAAGATGTGTGCATGAACAGTTCATGGGTCTGTCCCTGTCAAGAGCTGTCTAACGTTTATCCATTTAACCTGCACTCCCAGAAGGGCTCTGGGGTTCTTTTTCACTAGTGCACAGTCAACACCTGGGATTGCTCCAAAGGTGAAATTTGTCTGGCCCTAGAGATTGTGCAGAAGGGTAATGTGTATATGCTGAAATGAATTTCTGGCTTGAGTAAAACTATGTTTATTCAGAAGATGAATATAAAGAACTTGCAAGATTAAGCCTCAGTTACTTCCTAGTTCTGTGGTCTTTGTGAGATGGCAAATAAAAAACTACCTGTTAAATCTCCAACTTTCGTCTGATTTCTTCTTTTCAGGCTGTTTTGTGCATCTGGGGGGCCATCAACATACTTCATTGCAATAGCTGGGGTCTGGTCCTTCTTTTGCTGAGTCTGAGTAGCTGAAAGAAGAACACAAAAGGACATTTAATTGGACTGTATTAATATTAGTTTCTTCAAGGAGGAAAATATGTGTTGAGTTGACTCTACCTGGTTGATGAGAACTTGGTATAGTTTCAGTCTTGCCTTCTGGAAAGGACTGAACAGATTCATGGCCAGAATCCAAATCTTTCATTGGCTTTCCCATAATCTCATTCTCAGTTGCAGATTTATTTCTAATGAGGAAGTATGTGCGCATTTTCCCTTTTCCTTTTACTTCTATCTCTCCTCTTTCAGTAATCTCAAAATTCTTGTATTTTAGGCACCTAAAGTATCAGAAGCAAAATGACACATGAAAATTCAAGACAATTTAAAACTACTCTGATATTTTAAAAAAGCTGAGTGATCAAATCACAACAGTCTGGGGAAAAGGATCTCAATTTGTGAACAACTGAGGGTTTGTTTCAACTGTTTATTCAAGCCTGCTGTGCTGTCATAGCTTTACGCATACGGTCTGATCAAAAATTAATGGATCACATAGTCAAATACTTCAGTAGGGTGGAGGGTTCTTATTTTCCAGTAAACAGAAATTAAGAAGTGAGGCAGCCAATATAAGCTAGACAGAATGATCCTCAGTCATTTCATCAGAGAAGGCAATCAGGTCCATCAAGCATGACTGACTAATTTATTTCACATCCAGACTTGCTATTTCAAATTGCCTTTTTCACGTGTCCAAAAAATGGCCATTTGATTTTCACTGGGACTGACATAAGGCTGACCAGCCTACAGTTTCACCACGTCCGCTTTGCCATTTTTCCATGCCGCTGTAGTTTTCTTCAGCTGCTACGGTGCTGACAGTCATGGCCTTCCAGAGCTGACAGCCAGCAGCTCTGCAGTGCCATCACCCAGCTCTCATTACCTCAGATCCCTTCTGTTCCTGTGCATTCTGTAGACTGAGATGCCTCAAAAGACCCTTGCTCTGATCCTCTTCCAGTACTCATAGTTCACCTACTCCTTGAACCCTGACTCTTGCTTGCAGGGACCTTGAAGATCTCATCAGTGAAGACCAAAGCAGGAGAGGCCTTGAGTAACTCAGCCTTTCTCCAGGGCACTGTCACTAAATCACCTGCCACAGCAGGTCCATGTTTCTATTTATATTCTAACATTGCAGAAGCTCCTCTGACTGCCTTTGAACTTTGTTGCCCATTTCAATGCCAGCTGAGTTCTCATTTTCCCAGCATCATTCCTATGTGCCCAGACAACGTTGTTGTACTCCTTCCTTTGTAGTTTGTCTTTGCTTCCACTCGTGCATGCAGATTTTATGCATACATAAAGTTCTTGAAAATGTAGTATTAATTTTTTACAAACATGAGTTTCTGGAAAGTAAATTACAGCATGAAGAGGATAACTGTTTATGTAGTTAATCCTTGTAAGTATAAATAAAACTGTTTCACTACAAATTATGGTGCTCAATCAGAGAGATTTTAAACCTTTTGTTATTAAATGTTCTAAATGTTCTGTCTTTCTAGCATCTCCATTAATTTATCAATATTTCCAAATAAGTTATCACAATTAATTTTTTTTTAATATTTTGCTTTCTAGGATGGAGACTCTCAAACCTTTACCTCTATATATATTTGGAATAATTAGGAAAAAAATTAAAATTTACAAGCAATGACCGTCATTTACAAGCTGCTTAAATGAGCGACTAAGCACCATCTACAGTGGAAGGTGCAGCTGCCAAGGCAGTGGATTTTAGCACAGAATTGAGCAGGTAGTTTCCATCAGGTACTCACTGATAGGCACTGGAGCTCAGGTGAATTTTGCTGGGCACGCCATGGCTCTCCATACGGGAGGCGATATTCACCGTGTCTCCAAACAAGCAGTAACGAGGCATCTTTTCTCCAACAACTCCCGCCAGGACAGGACCTGTGTGGATCCCAACTCGAATCTTTACAAAGACATAAAACACCCCCCAGAAACGTCACTTGTTATTTAACATCTTTCTGAAAGCTATCCAGCCACCAAAAAGTTCATCTCAACACAACACTGGACAGCAGTATGATTTAAAATATCCGCAGGGAGAGGCTCTTCATGAAAACGTGTCCACGTGGGCCTTGCCCAAAGCGGAGTCAGAAGCAGCTCTTTGAGGTGCTGCTGCAGTACACTAGCCAGAAACTCAGCACAAGAAGCAGAGACACACATGCACCTTTGCATTAACTTACTTGGATAGGATTCCCAGAAACTGGGTTCTGTACTCCTTTGGCAGCCATTATCATGCCCAAGGCGAAATTAGCAACTCGCTCTGCGTGAGTGGGTACGGGCACAGGGACCCCACCTACCACCATGTAGGCATCTCCAATCGTCTCCACCTTAAATTGAGAGGGACAAGCACATCAGCATGCCAGGTGTACCTCACTCAGGTTAGTGCTTTGCTGTTCAGGGCTCTTATCTACACCAACTGCCCCTTTCTCTTCAAAGATGCTTCCAGTCACTGGAAAGCTTTAGCACACATGAGTTTCCTTGAGATGAAGATCTTTTCCTTCACTCCACACTAAAAATTTCCACGCATTCAGTCCCTGTTCACTTGACCCACTTTAGACATCAGTGTGAGAGACCCTAAGGAGAAAGAGCTGCTGTGCAAGTGTCAGACTGTTTGCCTTCCTCTTACCCAGGGCAGACCTTGGTAAAGACATGCAGACATGCAAAGAGCTAGCCCGAGGCACAGCCTCCTGAGCCAGGAGCTTCCCTGACAGATGAGTGCTGTTAATTAGCCCTAATTCACAATTGGTGCTAAAAGTGTGTTTCTTATTTGAGAGAGATTTATTTTTTAAAAAGCCACAATACAGCAAGGGAGCCCATTCACTGTTGATTATGATTAAGGGGTACACACAAAATTAAGGAACCTCCAGTCTCCAGGATGTCACAGCATACAGTGTGAGCTAAACAATTTGGGAGCATCCTTCCCTACAACCAGCTGTTTTCTCACAACAGCTGCAGCCTGTGAGACAAATGCTGAAGGGTTAGTCCTCCTTCAGGCATCCCGTTTCCTTGAAATACACACTAAAGTATCTGATAAATACTTTGGATTTTGTTCCTGTACCAAAAATTTTGCTGTGAATAGAACAGACCTGTTTGAAACAGAGAATTCTTAAATGTATAAAATCCACTGTAAAAGCCTGTTAGACAGTAATGAAATTTTCCAAATTGCTCTTATGAGGCTTCACTGGCCCATTTATCATCAGTAAATAAGAGATCTTTTAGATTAGACCAACTGGCTTTTTTAAAAATTAACACCAATAGGAGAGTGGAAACATAATTTAATATTTGGGTTTGTTCATTAACACAATGACTTAAAACAGTTCAGCACATCAATCTCAAAGAATGTGTTCCTGTCCATGCCTTCTATCAGACAGCCAAACCCAGAGTGATGCCTGTAATTTTCTGTAACAAATTAAAACCAACTGTAAAAAGCTACTAATGCAAACAGATACCCTAATTATTTTTCAGCCATAGTAGAAGATTTAATTTAACAAGATTTATTCATAACTTCAGATGTTTATAAGCTTGGGCCAAGTTTCTTTGATCAATGTCACTATTTCATTTCTTTTCCAATTCCCTGCAATAGTAATCTCATCCTTGCTCTCAGTACCCCAGTAACTTCCTTCAATATTAATAGGAGTTATATACAGGCTTCAAAAGGAGGTATTACAGTGACAGATCATTTACTTATGACGGATGATTTAGATAGAATATGATGCTAATTTATCCTGAAATCTGTGGGCCATATCCTGGATGCTTCAATTATTGAATACAGATTCCTTGCCAAGGAAGAAATGCTTCTGATTTCCCAGTACAATTTATTGTGCAATGAACTGCAAGCCTTGCCTGAGCAAGGAATGAACCAGGTTTGGATTTCACCCTTTACTATTTCTGCCTTCCTAAATATTTAATGAGCTGGGGACAGACAGAAACTTAGGAAGTGCTCTTCAGCACATCAAATCTGGTACCTCTAGAAGTGTTAATAACATTACTATTATAGGCCAGCCAGGGCTCTGATCTTCCAGCACAGTTTGGAGACCACATGTACAGTCTATGTCTAACTGATGCTCTGTGGGGGTTAGCAGGAGATGATACCATTGCTGAAGATCTCCATGAAATAAAAGTCTATCTGTTGTCTGGGTATTGTTTATAACATTATTTCCTACCAAAAGACACTATGACATAGTGACCCATTCAGAAGAGGTTCAAATAAAAGAACTAGGCAAATTATTCATGTTGGACAGGCATTTGAGAAAGGAGGGAGAGAGAGGTATAAAAAAGAAGAGCCATTCTGGTATTAGCATTGTGGGAAGAGACTTTAGCTTATGATAGAAGTTGTGTTCTTGTCCAATAATTTCCACTTCTCCCTGTTTTTCAGTTTGTGTGGCCACTACAAATAGGTAATGTTTTATGGTTTAATCAAGAATCATGCTGTGGTAAAGAGGATTTAAGTACATTTAAAAACAAAACAAAACAAACAAAAAACCAACCAACAAAAAAAAAACATCAAAAATTTCTGCAGCCTTTTTTGATCAGTACCTACCTTGTACACATCATGCACTGTGGTCAGTCTGTCAAACCTCAGGTACATTGAATTTAACATGAGAACTATCTGAATAGGCTCACACTGGGCACAAATGTTGGTAAAGGTCACCACATCACTGAACAATATAGTGCACTCCTTGAACTCTCCTGTGGGCAGAAAGAACAGTGGTATTTGTAATGGCTGGACAGCCACAGTATCTGTTTGAGAATTGTTTGAAAAGACCATATCAAATATAAGAATAATTGCACATCTCAAACAACCCAAAAATCTGAATATACCATATATAGGATACACTTAGCTCGTTATCCCTAATTTCATATACGTGCTCACTAAGGGGAATTTAAGCATATTATTGCTACCCTTAATAACAATGGGAATCATCATCATCCTGCATTTATAGATAGCATAGAGGTACTAAGAGAATTTTCTAGCAAAGTCCACTTTCTTTATTCCCTTCACTTCTGAGCCCTCATTCTCCTGTGTGCCAAAGTTAAAACCAAAATCTCAGATTATTGCCGAAACACTGAATTTTGTTCACTGAATGGGCAGCTATTACCATCTTTCACCACCTAAGGACCTTTTGGCAAAGAGCTTCCAAAGCTTTCTTTGAAAGAATAGCTTAATTTTTATTATCAGCAAAATTAAGGGTCTGTGATCATCCTCCTACACATGGATGTCCCCAGGTAGAGAATGGACTCCAGGGCAGTGGCAAAGGGGCTGTGCCAGCACCCCAATCTCTCTATCACCATCTCCCGTTGCACAAACCACACATCCCAAATGCATCCTGTTCATTCACCTGCCTCAACTCGCTTCCCCTCTTTCAGCTGGTTGGCCACGTGCTGGGGAAGCATGGCATAGAGCAGAGCTTCAGTCTTCTTCTTCTCTTCCTCCAGGTGCTTCGACAGGATCCGCAGCTCCTCCTTCTTCCTCTCCAGCTGGTTTGAGAGCTCCATCTCTGCCAATCGCTGCTGATTGAGGAGAATCAAGTCCCTGGTCACGTCGTGAGGGGCGATGTCTGCAATGTGCATCTGCCGCTCCTCCAGCTCATGCAAAGTGCGAAGCAAAGGTGAGCAGAGGTAGAGCATGCACTGCAGGGACTCCATCCACATCATCTGGCCTGTGTGGAACAAGTGTTGGCAAGGGTTTCAGCAGTGTGGCCTTTCACAGAGAGCTCAGCATTACTGCTGTTAATCTTAGGCAGAGTTCTAAGGAACTTCTGCCTTAAATTTTCTAGGAAATAAATTGCTGTGATCATCCACTTCAGTGGGTTTCTGTAGGGTCTGGATGATCACAGCAATTTATTTCCCAGGAATTCGAGGTGAACTTGTACAGAGGAGCCACACTAGGCAAACAACCAAATTTTGGAGCCCAGGAAGCAGTCAGTCCCTCATTGCAGGTGCTGGGCAGAGCCTAGCTATGATTCAAGTCCCTTCTCCTCGTGAGGAACTCCAGCACTCTCAACATCTCTCCTCTCCTTTCCCTCCTCTCTGCATTGTCCCCTCCTCTCCTCCTAGTTCTTGAGCTATTCCCAAAGCCAGTCAGTCAGAATCATGCACAGGGGATCTGAGACTCACAGTGATTAAGCAAAACATTTGAAGTTTAATTTCACAGTGCATAAGTTGTGTCCCTGTAAAGTCAATGGCACTTTCCTCCCTGGAAATAGCAGCTTTTAGTTGCTATCATAATCTAAACAAGCAGTTACAAAAATGCCTGAAAGGTAAAAGGGATTTTTGGTGGGGGATCTAGCTTTTTGGGTTTTGGTTGAGGTTTGATTACGATTCTAATTATTATTAGTAGTATTAGTATTATTGACTTGCTCTGTAAGTAGCAAAACAGCAATCTAGGAATTCCTATTTCTTTCTTTCTCCCTCACCTCATCCCCAGTGCTACTGGATGAAGAGCTTTAAAACTAAGAGGGTTGAAACATGATAGATACATGTGAATTAACCCCTAGAGCATAAGAGAAAGTACAGTTGTACCCATGACCAGTCAAAGTTCCTTGTTTTGGTAGCATTACTTTTTTCAAGGTGTCCCTAGACCTTAAAATTTTTTCTGAATCTCAGGAAAACAAGATTTGACACTCATTACATAAAGGTGAAAGGAGACAAGAGAAAATTAGGTCACATTAAAAGAGAAAAGAAGAACTGAAGCACAGAACAATTAAACAAAATGTCATTATAGTTAATTACACCAAGCAGAGGATCATCTCATATTCAGTCCTCTCACTAAAAATAAAGCAAATACAGTATCTTTATTGCTGAGATAATTTTAACTGGTAAATTCTTACGTGTCTTTGGGGGGGTTTGTGAAGACAGAAATTGGAACCTGAAAATGTGCTACAAAAAAAAAAAGTACAGAGAACAAATCTATTTTTAATCACATTTGAAACCCAGCCAGTAGCAAATAACTCCCCTCAAAGGCATAAATTAAGAACAAGTCATGTATTCACATGTGGGTTTTGCAGCATCAGAAAACCACCATATTTCTAAGTCTTTCAAATAGGAGCAGAGTTGTTGTTTCTGACTGAAAGCCTTCAAAATCTGGTGAGGTAACAGCAGAATTTGTGTACAAGCATCTACTGTTTCTCTAAACAGAACCATTTAATCTCCTCACTGCCCAAAGGCTATTTGTAGGACTTGAGTGAGGTCAGGAGTGCACCTCAGTGTAATTCCTGATTTAATATGAGCACTTATACTATTGAAAACAGTGAAGTACCTCTTAGCTCTAGCATTGGCCGTTCTTTCCATGACTCAGGCATCATCTCTCTCCTAGTCTGGAAAACAAATTGGCTGTTGATGAATTTCTGAATGCTGGAGATGGTGAAGGGTACTTCTGGGTGAACAATCCTGAAGTACTGATCCAAGCAGATGCCCATGGTCTGAAGGCCAGGTACAATCTTTTGAATGCTCACCCCAGCTTGCTTCACTTTGAGCTTAAAAAGAAAATATGGACCAGTGTTACAATCCATGTCCCTCTGGGTTCAGACCAAGCTACAGCTGATCACTGTTTATACATTTCCCCACACTCAGTCTTTCTAGAGCACATGACTTATTTCTGAGCAAAGTTCCTCTCTTGTCAGTGTAGCACTACACAGCTCTGAATGCATGCCCTTCATAGCAAGACAAAGCCCCAAGAAATGAATGTTGTTATTAAAATGTTCCTTCCTGTCAATTGTGAAAAACCCCCAAAACCACCTGCTATTATCCCTGCTTGCATTTGTGTAGGCCTCACAAACAACCTTACAGGTAGAAAATTAGAGATAGCAGAGTGTCTTGTATTCCAAAATGAAAACAACTGTGGCATAAAATGCCTTGACAAATATTAATTTTCTAATAGATGCCATGGGTTACTTTCTCTTAATGAAGTGTAAAGGTTTAGTAACTTTCCTTTACTCTGCTGACCATACGTGAGCTCCTAAATTCTGCAGAAATGTTCTTCTTTGCTTGTCATCAGTTATTGAAGCTCTGACCTGGCTACCAGTAATGGGTGTAGACTTTTCTTCTTTGCACACTAGTAATTTTATTAAATTATGCATACTGGCCTTCTTGAAAGGTTTAAGACTCTGCGTTTTGGCTGATGTGGGCAGTGGCATGAAGCAGATTATGTGCTCTGGAACCTCGATCAGCATGACACAAAACATTTCCTGAGGGGAATGTACTCAGCCTTCTTCTGCTGTCCCATCCTCAGCTTCTCCTTTCTTTGCTCCTGTCTTAAGCCAATATTCTCTCCACAGAGTTTGGAGCAAGAGGACCTGTGGCTTGTGGGAGCCCAGGCAGGCTGGGAACCAGCCAAGGGCAGCCCTGAAGGGGCTGCAAAGTATGTGTGCACAGGAGAGGAGACTCAGTCCTGCCCCAGAAGATAAAGAGATTTTTGGGTCCCAGTGGGGCTGCACACTGCCTGACTCAGTCAGTAGCTGGGAGCAGACTCAGGAAAGCACAAGGCCTCAGCTGCCAGCAAAGCCCTCAAAGCCCTGGGATGGGTTAGCAAGTGGGAGGAGAGGGGGGAACATCCTTTAAACTGCAAAGCCGATTTAAAGGATGGGACATGTCTCTGGTATATCCAGGAACAGGAAGGTGACCAGAAACCAGAAAAATTCTGCTCACTGTTTGGTGCCAGATAGACTGCTGCAATAAACCTTGCTGGCATATCTGCAGCTGTTTCAGCCATGGTAAACTCGATAAATGCAAAGGAGATTCCTATCTGCAGCAATATGGAGCATGTCTCTGTAACAGAGTATTTCTGCAAATCCTGTAACTGAGTGTAGACTGCACACAGAGCACATGAAAGCAGGAAACTGTAGGACAGTCAAAACAGAGGGAAAGTACAAGGAGGTTTATGCAAACCAAGGGCCCTGACCAGAAGCTTGTCCTACCTCTTTGTCAAAAACCATATGAAAAGGAAGTCCATTGCAAAACGTTTTTGTATCAATCCAGAGGCTCTTGGGATAAACAGGATCAAATCCTCTCAGGAGCTTACCTGTGGTGAGATAAATGCGTAGTTTTTAAATGAGGCTGCTCGTCATAAAACCAATCAGCATTACTTTGTATCACTTGGTGAGACAGGACCCTACATAGTGAGTGAAGACAAAAGCAAACAGTGTGTGGGCCCAGAATGTGCACACATCTGTGCTAAATGCTCTGCAGTGTAACCCACAGCTGATTAGCAACTGCTGTGAGTTGGCTGGGAGCTTAAAACTTAAATACACCAAAAACACAGAGCACTAAATGCATGAAATTATGTGGAAAAAATAAGAGTAGATGAACAACTGTAGATGTTACTTCTCTACCAATCTGCATATGCCACAGCAATGTAACACAGCTCCATCCCACAAAAATATGCACACAAGTGGATTTAATACATTTTTCCAGCTACTAAGGAACACTTAGCAAGTAAGATCCTAACTTAAAAATTCCTTCCATTTTATAAACATATATAAACATCTAATACATAGAGGTAAGAACAGGGATTACTAGATTAGCAGTAGACTTTTGGTAGTGGAGGATTTAATTTGGCTTTCAAAATTTACTACAGTTGATAATTTTGGAAAGAAGTAGTATCTACCAAATTAAAAAACCACACTTTTAAATTCAGCATCTTATACGAAGTGACATGAGAATGAATTCATCACACAATGGCATTTTATAGAAGAACAATTTTCAGATGAAAGCCCTGTTTAAGAGACAAAAGTGACAGGTCATATTCCATTTAAGTATCTGTCATTACTAAGCATGCTTATTATCTGCAATTTTTCTTTGATCAGCAATGTCAAACTGAAAGAAACGTAACCAGAAACATTTTGAAAAGTTGCAGAGGAAATATAAATGGTAACTTTAAAATGGATGGGTGGGTGGGGATAGGGAGGCTTACTGACTTTCTAATTGAAGAGACTCAGAAATGATGACGAGCTCCCTCTGAATGATCTCTCACCTTTTCCTAATGTGATTATTCCTCTTAATGTTCTCCAGTGACTCTTCTTAACAGGACAAACAGAGTTCCCTCTGTCTCCAGTTGCATTCTTGGCTTTTTCAAGGTCCTGTTGAAATAAATCCAAAGGGAAATTTCTAGGGTGTTTTTATTTTAAATATATTTGAGTTATATGGTGATAATGAATATTAAAATACCTCTTTATTCAGTTGGTTCTCAATTTGTTTTTCAGAGTCAACAAGACATTGAGATGAGGAAGAAAATTCATTTCTTTCCTTGGATGGAAAGAGAGGGTTTTGAGTGACAAGAAAAACAATATGTTCTTTTTTCCCAGTTCTTTCCTCTTCTTCTTCTGTTTGATTGACTATTTTCATTGAAATCTCAATGTTAAAAAAATCCAGGGCTGCTGCACCGATGATTCCTGAACGGGAAACAAAAGACAAGGTATTGCCAAGAACAAAACCTTTTCAATTCCCATTTCAGAGGGCCCACAGTGGAATTTCACTGTTTCAGAAATCACTTTTCCAAAGGACTCTGGAAGAAGAAAGCAACACCTGTCGTTCTTGCTACCGTTGCCATGATGAGAATATGCACATAGGAGGTCAGCTTTAAAGTTACTGCTGCTTTTGCCTTGGCTGAAGACAAATGCTGATTTTCACTAGGAGCAGCTCAGCAGGATATCTGAAGAATGTGTTCAAGTAGTCATAGAGCAATAATATGAATTTCCATCAACCCAAAGAGTGCAGGGAGTCTAAAAAGATTCTGCTTTACAATCTATTTCAGTCATTGAAGAATATTATATTTTGAAAGGAAGGAAATATCTTTCATGCAGATGCACAATCAGTTCTCTCATTTCTGGTTATGTTTTAGGCAAAAGACTGGACATCAAAATGACATCAAAAGCTCTTTCTGAAATTCCAAATAATTCTGTGCTTTCAATATCGAATAAGTTTTGACAAAGGGGGATGTTTTGATGAACTTCTAAATTCAGCATCATTTATGAAAGAAAGGAACATGATCATCTCTTACAGACCTATAGCTCTCTAATGCTTGCACAAGTACAGCTCTGGAGATTGTGGAAAATGCTGGTAAAAGATTCAGTTTGGAGCAGGGTTCAGTAGGAGTTTTACAGACTGGATGTTCTACAGGGTGGATGAATGTCTTCAACTCAACTAGAATTTATACTTCACTGTAATTTAAAAAGCACGAGTCATTGAAAATTAATAAACACACAAATACACACCATGACCTTATTTTTACTTCCAGGGAGGGAGTTCTTTATAGCAAGAATGGACATTTATGGCCTGGCTTGTCATACAATAAATTTTGATGAGCTACTGGGAGCTAGGAGTGATCAGGCAGTAGGGGAATACTGAGTTCAGGTGTCTGGGCACCGAACTCTACCAGGCTTCAATTCCATGGCCAGGCCCCATCTAAAAAAAAGATACTGAACTCTGAGTGCATCTGCAAATTTATGATTAGTCTGTACATGCATTGCATTGATATGTACTCTGCATTTAGTCTCATTACCTGGCACAATATGGCACAGACCTCTTCTGTCTGAATAGTAATGTAAATGCATTGACCCATCTTCATTCTTTTCTACTCTAAAAGATGGTGCATTCATCTCCTGAGGAAATAAAACAAGCAAAACCAAGACCTTAGTATCTTTTTTTCTGAAAAAAGATGAACAGATGAATTCCACTTATACAAAATCATCTCATGCCTTAATAACATGAACTGTAATACAAATAAATTGAAAAACAGAAAATTAAATATTCTCACCTGAGAAGAAAAATCTGCTATGCATTAGAGCCAATGTAGTAAATAATGCCTAATGCTGAGGACTAGTGAAAACCAAACATTTTCAGAAATTGTCCTAACATTTGGAGTAATCTGTTTCAGAACACAGCAGAACAGAACATGCTGTGGTGATTTTTTTTCATTATTTATTCACACCTATGAGATGCTGTTCCTTGCGTTAGGAACTCTGTCAGAGTGCATCCACACCTGCTCAGCAGTTACTACTCGCACTTGCCTGGTAAGAAAGGGACAGGTAGCTGTGCAAGGCATCCAGGTTCTCTATGAACTCGTAGAGATTTCCACCCAGTGTCCTCAGCATGTGGTCATAGCCTGAGCGCTTACAGAATTCAAAGAAATACTTTCCAAACTCCCTCAGAACAATGTCAGCAGGAACACCTGGCAAAAATAAAGACACCTTAAGGAATAAGAAAGGTTTGGAAGTTCTTGCAATGTTGTCAGGTGGATTAAGATTGAAGGCATAAAATTTGCAGCGTAGGGAAGGCATTCCCAAGGGCACAAGGGACAAAACCAGGGCTGCAGTCTCAGGCTTGACCCAGGATGATCCATTTTTGAGGCATGCCAATACATACCTAACACTTTGCAGGCTTTGTCGACAAGCTGCATTGTGATCTCATCTTTGTAAACCTCAAAAGTTAAGAAAGAATCCTGGACTCCAGCCTGCAGCCTAAAACAGAGAAGACAATATTCTTGTCTCAGCAGTGCTGTACATACAACATGCCTGGGTGACCCAACTGGCATTCCTTAAGCACTGTTTGCTGTGAATGCACTCCTTAACCTCCCTCAAGTGCTACATATTACTTCACCTAATGGTGTAAATTTAATATTAAATTGCTTTAAATTAATTAAATTGCTTTAACATGGCTGAGTGGTGGTGTCCACCTCACCATTTGTGCTATTTCACATTATGGTATTACAGTAAGTTCCTTCAAGGATTAGGACATTAAACTGCAGGGCGCTAGAGCAAGTGGAGTTTTAGTTTATCTTCTGGTTAGTTTGCTGTTCAATGTGGCCACAACATCAAGCTCTTGGGGCTCCCCAAATCTGCTGTTTTCTTTTTATATTGGCTCCAATGGATGATAATATATGGTGGATGGATTATATGGCATCTGAGTATCATCTGTTTTTCTTGGAAATACCATATAGCCCATAAAAACAAGACAAAACCAGAGGTGATACAAGGCCAGACTGAATGGGACTTTGAGCATCCTGGTCTAGCGGAAGGGGGGATTGGAACCAGATGGTCTATGATGCTATGATTTAGCTGCTCTGCTGAGTACTGGAATTAAACTGACTTTATATTAAGGATGACATCTTTTCAGCATAATTACTTCTCGATATTGTCACAGTGAGCCAGGGAGTCTATTGCAAAATTGTGTAAAAGACTAAATGTCATCTTTAATTATCTGATATGACAAATTAATTGGGACAAATTAGTATCAGAGGATGAAGTGTTACAAGGCAAACTCTTGCTTTTGCCCTGTTAGTTACTCCTAATAATAATTACTTGAGCTACACATCAGCTACCATTTACCAATAAGAAATTATATCCTCTGCTGCTGAATTCCTGAGCACTTTCTGTCAATGCACTACGTTTATTGGGAACACATTACCTTAATTTTTCCCATGTCTCTTCACCGTACTTTTCAACCACCAAAGACTTCAGGCACGTGTTTATAAATCCATACTGCAAAAAGCAAATATATGAACACGGAAAAGATGGTTTTTCAAACACTGTCCCAACACATTGCCTTTTTGTATTTCAGATTCCTCTGCTAATTTTATATTGCAAGAGAAAAAGTAATGATGCTTGACGGCCTAAACAGAAACTAATAATGTTGGGCAGCCATTGTATCTCCCAGTGAGCACAGGAGCGTTTCGCAAGCGTTCAGCACGAGAGAGCGAGCAGCCAGCGGTGTTTTGCAGAGCAGCAGCCGAGCCAGGGCGGGCCCGTGCCCGGTGCGGTGGCTGCGGCCGGAGCTGGGCACAGCAGCCCCGCATGGCCCTGCAGCCCCGCATGTCCCTGCAGCCCCGCATGTCCCTGCAGCCCCGCACTGTCCTTGCAGCCCCGCATGGCACAGCAGCCCCGCATGGCCCTGCAGCCCCGCATGTCCCTGCAGCCCCGCATGTCCCTGCAGCCCCGCATGGCCCT